GCGAGAAGAAACAGTGACGATGCCCAAATGAGGGCTGGTATGAAGACTCCAGTCCAGGCTCAGTTCTTCCAGCCACCGAAGCAGTCTCCCAATTGCAGCCAGAAACGGCAGCAGCCTCAATACCCTCCCATTACGGGACAGCATGGCGCTCGGAATGGGCTTACCCGACTTTGGAGGCGATCATTTGGCACTGGTGCTTCGTTGCCGCCAGCTGATGGCCCCATTCCTGACAACAGTGAAATGCCAGCCAGGGATGTGCCCAATGCGCCTCAGATGCAAACGAGTGTGAGCCGGAACGTTGCATTGCTGGACGATGACCGTTCGGGAGCGACACCCCCGCCAATTGCCCGTGAAGACCGGCATGGTCAGGGTCTTGGGCTAGATGGAGATGGGTACAGGTGTGTAAATCAGAATGGAAAGGGCGAGATCCAGTCACCCACTGTGACTGAAATGCAGCCTATCGCGCAGGGCGCTTTCGATTCCTCCCAGCAACCTGAGACAGGCAACCTGCCCTCGGCTTCAGCTACTGGCGCTAGGAGAAAGTGGTTGCCTGGATTTGGCCGTGCAGGTAACCTGAAAGTGAGGACCAGCTAGGGGCTGCGTCGAGATCGATGGTTTTCTCTATGAAACTAGCAAGAGAGCACAATGCATTCAACCGGCCAACGAAAGGTGGCGTGAGTTAGGGAGAGCTGGCTGAAGTGGCGTATGAAGTGTCATTGTTCTGCTGACCCCACACGGACCACGTTGCCGATGTTGATGCAAGTCGGGCGGCTCGCCCTAACACTAACTAATAAGGAAAAGTCTAAGATAGCAGACGCTTTCTGCTTCCGTACCGCGCACCGAGAATCGGCGGCGATGACCACGATAAAGCCACACCAGCTGTGTGGCATTTGACTTTTCCCATTCATAATCTTTTATTTTCACTCTTTTGAACAAAAAAAGCAAGGGCGTATCATTCCCCCCTCTCAACTTTTATTTCCTGTGTTCTTGGGGGGTTAGGCTATTGGGGACTTGACCAAGCGTGCGAGGTGGTGTTTGGGGTACTGGGCATCTGGATGGTTTTTGTGTATTGGCACTTGGGGGTTTGGGAAGCTGAAGAATAGATCGACTGGCAGAATCACTTCACAGGACAGGAGCAGCGGCGTATTTCAAGAATCATTTGTTTTTATTTCCTCAACCAGGAGTTGTTTCCAATGCTATTTTGGTATTTCTATTTGACAGGTCTTAAAAAAAAAAGGAGAGAATCATGTCCTCGTCTTTTCATGCTTGGTTATTCATGAAAGGAACAAAGGAAGGCCCATGCGTCCATGGCACGTGAGAGATGAAGTCCCGGCTCCGATCCAGCTGAATTGTTCTTGACAATTCTGAGTGATTGTTTGACAAAGAGCCCCGCCACTTTCCCCTTCTTTCCACTTCCACCCCGGGTGGAAGTAGAGTGGGTATTGATGCTCATGAAGGGGCAAAGGGAGAAAAGTGCGGAAGGCTCAAAAAAGAAAAAAGGAATGAATAGGAAGTAGAGAACGCTGTTCATCTATTTGCCGGAGAAGATGGTAAAAAAGGGTCTGACCACTTTACAGGGCCCAGTCGACGGCAGACTTGCCGACGCCGAGGTCGCCCACGGCGGCCTGGAAGGCGGCGGGGGAGAGGTCGATGTGGGTGGCGTCGCAGGCCTGGCAGCGGTCGACGATGGTGACGACGACGGAGCCGGCTGGGCCGGTGACGGTGACCTTTTGGTTGCAGACGACGGAGGTGTCGTAGCTCATGGAGACGGCGGCGACGAGGGTGTCGTCGGGGTGGACGACGCCGTCGCAGGCGGCCATGCCAACGCCGGGGTTGTAGTAGGTGGCCGTGCCGGAGGAGCGGGAGGCCAGCTGCTCAGCGGGGGCGGCGAGGGCCAGGGGGAGGGCGGCAATGAGGGTGGTGAAGAGCATCTTGAAAGAGGTTTGGGTGAAAGAAGGGTTGAAGATTGGTAGTGAGAGTTGAGTTTGATGGCTCTTTTGCTGTGATCTTCGAGAAGAGAATGTGTAAGACCTGCCGGAGGCTTGATGGAAAGGTTGTTTGGAAGAGGGAATGATTGAATTGTTGGATGATGAGAGAAAAAAAGGGAATCTACTGGGGGTTCATCGAGGGGTTTATATACATGATTGGGAGATGGGAGGACATACTGGGCGAGCTGTCACTCGTACAGACCTATCTCACATTCACAACCCGCCAACTACAGGTACCACGGTACTCCACCGGGACTGTGATTCCTGTAAAGTCCGCAGTTCGGATGAAGGCCGTGGGTTGGGCTCTCAGATAGTGAGTGGGAGGTATACGGGAATAGAGGGAGCGTTTGAGCCGTGTGCCTGCATGGTTCCTGTGCCTTCCTTGCCACGGCACGACCCGGACAGCGTTCCAATTGGCAGGGGAAGCATGCAACCGCAAAATCCAACACGGCTAGCACCAGGTACCTTCGGACAAAGATTTCAATTTGGGTGTGGTGGCCACGCGGTTTCTGGTACCTGAGGGCTAAGGAACCTTGCCCGACAAATCAGAAGCATCCTTCCTGGCAAACCAGGCACTAGAGAAGAAAAATGGGAAGGGAGAAGATACGGGAGAAAAACTATAAAAGCCACCAGAGACTAGGAAGCGCCTCGGGGCCCAAAGATGCTCCCTTTTGGAATGGTCCGAAAACATGGTGTGGTGTGGACATTGTTGTGCCTGGTTTCAAGGAGGGCGCATTCAGGTGTTGCCGCCTGCGGGCCGGCCACATGTTCTTGCACTCGCCCAGGCGACGATCATCTGGACATTCTGAGCAAGGTACAGGTGCTGAATGGTTTTGGGATACATGGTATAATGGCTCAGGGTGCAGGAAGCCGTGGGTTCACATTAGGTCGGAAGGTTTCCTGAGCCGCGAGATATCTTACTCATGCCGACGGAAGCAGAAGCTGTAGTTTCAAGTAGACAACCAACTTACAAATCCTCCGCAGGCCACAGCGTCTCTTGACTGACTACGACATGGTTCTCCCTGTTTCGTTGCGTAGTGCGTTACGTTACCGCTACCAAGGGCGAGCGTCCCGATGAGGCGTTTTCTCCTGGGAAGCAGCCAATGGTGGAGTTTGCCGTGCGTGCTTGGTCAGAGAGCACCTTTCCTCTTTTGAGTTGGAGGTCGATCAGAGCAACTCTTGAATCGATCGGCGTTGGAGTTCCGGTTTGTCAGATGGAGCATGTGTATGTCTATTGGTGGAAACGTGCTCAGGCCCAGAATACATTGCTCGATTTGGCAATAGCAATGGAGCCCGGTTCGCAAAACTCTTATTCAATTTTTTTCCTTTGTCCCTGCTTGCAACGTTGGCTGCTCTAACTGGAGGGTTCTGGAAACGATGGTCTGAACCTGCGTTGAAACATACATACATACTCCGCGAAGCCCCTGATCGCTCCCCGTCCATTGAGGCATGCGCACAGCACCGACCAGGGGATCGGTCCCCGTCTCAGACCTGTCTGTAGCTTCTTCCTCCTGCGTGCGTGCCGGGACATGGGCAACACGCGGCAGACGGGGCACGCACACACGCTGTCAGAGGCACACACACTCTTGACTCCCAAGTCAAACTTGCCCCGGTTCAGAGTTTGCCCGTGCAGCAGAACAAGTGGAGAAGGCGTCAAGGTTGGGATGGTTATTGCTCTTTGGCAGCTTTGGCCCTGGCATTAGCCCACCGACCAAGGCGGCGCCCACTTTACTTTCCACGCTCCATGACAAGTGTTTGTTGAGGGATGAATAGAAAAAGAAAAAAACAACGCAATTCTGCCTCTTTAACCTGTCTCGGACGCGTCTCCGATGCACCGCCGCGATTGACGGCATTGATGGCAAGGGATGGTGGGTGGCAGCGTGGCTTGAACTCTATTTCACACAATACATCGGGACGAGAAAAAACCTTGTTCCTGACAAAGCAAAACTGGGGGTGACAAAGGAAAAAAAGCCTCATATCTCGGGTGCTTGCATTTTCTGGCACAGCATGGCTGTTTTGGCTGTGAGACAGACAGCTGCCCGATCCTTTGGCTTTTCGGCTGCATATCATCGGTCTGGATGCGCCCACAACCTGCCAGCAATCTCCCGTGTGGTGATAAATTTTGATCATGAGGGGCCGGTCAAGTCGAATCGGATCGAATCTGGATTGATCGGCTGGGGAAACACTGCTTAGCACAGCGGATATCTTCTTGGCGGACGCGGGGAGCCGGAGGGAAAGGACCAAGATAGGTTTGCCGGAATGCTTGTCTAGTCTAACCGGTCAAGCTCGGTGCCTTGAGGCGACCTCATCGAGTCATTCCGGAACCGGACATGTATGTTATTTCCGAAGCAAAAGCTGCCCGTTGAGAAAACAACGACATGTCTCGAGTCATCCCCCGCCCGATGGCCGCAGCTTCGATCCTTGAGGAACCATTCTAGAAGGTACTTAGCGATCCAGCAGCAATAACCTCCTTCGAGTCATTCAGAGGAATCTATTCACTCTACCTTCTCCACCGGCATCGTTCTCAGAGAGATACTACCTAGCTGTGGAGAACCAATGGTGCGCTATTAGGATTTTACGATGGGCATGTGGGTTCCATTCCCCGGTGTCCAGAAGTCATGAATCTTGAGAAGAAGGTTCCAGAGGCATGCAAGATTTGTCTCTGTCTTACCCATTCACGTAAGACGGGCACAAGAGAAGAATGGGAACTTTAGATGCAAGGTGCTTTTGCGCGCATAAACATCCAACATGCGTTGGCCATTAACATTTTCATCCTTTGGGCTGGCTGAAACAGCACGAAAACTACCGCGGGGTGGCCATGTAACCCATCAACAGATTACATATATGTATGAATGAGGCTTGGCCGGTCCTCCCCATCACGGGCCCCCAATCCGATCCGATGGTCTCACCATCAATGCAACTCCTTCTCTTCCCCGCGTATCACGGTGGGACAAACATGGGGGCGTGTCAGTTGACCCGGGTCGCAGATCTGGGCGGTTTTTTAAACTAAACCTAGCTGAACCAGCCCATCAGACCTGCTGCCACACCACCCAGGACGGGGACGAGGCCCCAGTGGTTCCATTGGCCGTCCCCGGTCTGCGCGAGGTTGATGAAGCCGTCTGCGCTGGCCATCCAGAGGCAGGCGACGAGGGACTTGGCAGTGAGCTTGTCGTCTCCCCTGGACCAGATGAGGACGAGGAGGTAGCTGACGGCGATGTTCCGGACGCCGAAGAAGCGCATCACCGAGTGGGATACCTTCTTGCCCTCGGGGTCTTTGGGCACTGGGAAACGGACGGACTCGAGCACCCGGCCTGGTTGGAGGAGGATGTTGATGCCGAACACGGCGGGGAGCAGAGAGAGCCCGAGAGAGGCGTAGGAAAAATACGGGTGAGACATGATGTGATAAATGTGAAGTCAACGGCGATAGATAGTAATGATTTCTGGATGATGGTGAGGTTGGTGGTGATCTATCTGTCTCCAGGTCCTGTTGCTGGTGGATAATTACCTTTTGATGAACAGCCAGTGCTTATATCACGTGTCGGGATATCATACCGAAAGTGTTCAATGATGGCATTGTTATACGCTATTGGAATTGCCATTGGTAAATTGCGAGCACAATTCGCAGTGTTCTAACAGCCCTTGTCGACACATGTCTGGGTATATATTTATTGATGGCTGGATGCTACCGAGACAGTTGTCTTGTAGTGGCTTGACAGCTGCTGCGCCATTGAACGAGATCTGATCTGTGGCGGCGTGACCCCACCGTAGCTCCTTTCCGCCGTTCCCGTCATAGCCGCATGGCTCTGATCTAAAATCGAATCAGTGACGTGATGATGATCGTCAATTCCTCTTGGATTGAGGAAGCTATATAACATGTAATCATGCGTTCCTTTTTTGTTGCTAATTGAAGCAGCAACAAGATCAATTGGTACGTACGCCTTAACAGAAGGGGAACCTGGATATAGGGTAGGTCAAGGTTTAGGCACATCAAGACTTCGTCCATTCCTGACAAACCGCCTCTCATTAGATGAGCAGCACACGCGCCAGGAGTCTTGTCTCCAAATTCCCATGGGCGTCCACGCCCTTCATCATCGGCGCCCCGATGAGGGTGATGAGCGGGCCCAATCTCGCCTTGGCCATCTCCAAATCTGGAGGTCTCGGTTTTATCGGACCTGGTGTCAAACCAGCAGACATCCATACCGACCTCGCCGCTCTCCGTGGCTTGGTAAAGGACGCCTCGCCGTCTAGCCTCCCGGCGAGCTTCGTGTCGTCCAAGTCTCTGCTTCCCGTGGGGATCGGCTTTCAGCTCTGGGACGGCGATGTGGACTCTGCCTCTCGGGCCGTCAAGGAGTATCGTCCATGTGCGGCGTGGCTCTTTGCCCCGCGGGATGGTCAGGCAGATTTGGATACATGGACTAGCCGCCTCCGGGAAGCCTCGCCCGATACGCAGATTTGGATCCAGATAGGAACCGTCCAGGAAGCGTTGGATATTCTCCGGGGCAAGACTCGTCCCGACGTCATCGTCGTACAGGGGGCCGAGGCGGGTGGCCACGGGAGAGCGCACGACGGACTGGGCACCATAACTCTGTTCCCCGAGATCGCCGACGCGCTCGGAGGAGATAGCAGCGGGATCGGCCTTGTTGCCGCTGGAGGCATTGCGGATGGGAGAGGTGTTGCCGCGGCGCTGGCCCTAGGAGCGGACGGAGTTGTCCTCGGCACACGGTTCTTGGCATCGACCGAGGCCCGGATCAGCAAGGGGTATCAGCAGGAGGTGGTGCGGGCTACGGACGGCGCGAGGTCGACGACTCGCACCATGCTGTACAATCAGCTGCGGGGCACGACGGGCTGGCCGGAAGGTTACAGCCCGCGGGGGATCCTCAACCGGAGCTGGTACGATCACCAGGCTGGCGTGGGCTTTGAGGAGCTGAAAAGGCTGTATGCCGAGGCGACGAAGGAGGGCGATGCTGGATGGGGCCCCGAGGGTAGGCTGGCCACCTATGCGGGTGCCTCCATCGGATTGATCCATTCGGTAAAGGACGCCGGTGAGATTGTCTCCGAATTGAGGACGGAGGCGAGTGATATTATCAGACGGAATTACTCTCGTTTGTAGTGTGTCATGATGCTATTCGTTGGAGCGCAAACCGTGTTCCAGCGAGAATCGACGATTATCTTGTTGTTGAGGGTAGAACCATGTCCGCAGTCGGTTTCTCTACGTTTCAACTGATTTCCGTAGCCATCGTGACACTGCTAATTGCAGATCTCCTGGGTTCCCTTTAGGGCAGACTTGTTAAGCTACCAGGCGGGTGAGACAATGTGTGGCACACCGAGGCCACCTGCGGTGGATTTCGACCCAAAATTGACAATGGTCAAAACTGATAGTCCACACATTATTGGCATGAGCATCGCAAAATGGTTTGTTGGGTTGTTATTGTCAGCCAAATAATATTAGGTCCGTAGCGTCCATGACGGGCTGAGAGCAACGTTTTGGTGTGCCATGTCTTAATTCCTCCACTTGGCTACCTACTTGGAGATCTGAGCCGATCTGACAACCCTTGACATGAAACCATAGTCTTGAGAATATCATCTCCTCCGCTCGCAGATCCGGCCCGCTCGGTTGTGTTGCATGGTCGGCTATAAATCGTCAATGAGATCGGCGATTGTTTTTCCTTTGAATGGGACCGTTCCACTAATCAGACAGCTTCATATTCTTGGCTTGGTCGCGTTCAGACATGGCCAGCTCATAGTCATTTCGCTTTGAGGATCGTCCGTGGCGTACGCAGCTAAAGCAACAGAGATGCAGGCTTCCAAATGCTTCAATGCGATAACAGCATGAAGCCCTACCCACTGCTGGCTTCGTGGAGATGGAACAGATGTGGCGGTGAGTTCTGAGATGGCTGCGTAAGGCACATTTGTCTCTCTTGAACGACTTCTCTATGACAGAACATGATTGCCGAAGACGACCCTAAAGCTAGCTCCGATCAGTGGTTTGAAGACTTACGGCTCCCGTAACGCATCCGTCGTCTCAAAGAATGTGGTATCATATCAAAGACCCGGTGGCATTTGAGTCACACGAGAAGCTCCCGTTTCATGCGGATTACTATGCCCTGGGTTGATGTGCTTTGGATCTGCCTGGAATGGCCGAAACAACGGTGGCACAGGCGAATTCTTTTCTCATTGGACGGACCCTACCTGCTTGTAATAAATCGCCACATCTTGCTGGTTCTCTCTCGTGGTTGTCCCGATTCGTTTATCACCGCGCACGTAGGGCTACTGGCGGTATCCTTGTAGAATGACCCATTCTGCCAGGACCGGGGAGAGAGAATGAGCAAGGCAAAATGCAAGTCATCGCCACGACCACGTCCCATGGAGCCGAAGTGTCCATCCGGTACCCACGGGATCATGAGGCATTGCACGATGGGGACGATGGCGTGGCGATCCACAACGACTGCATTTCTCATGATGGGCTAAACGGATACGATGGTAATGCTTTCCCATCTGGCGATCGACGGATCAAGGCCGACAGCAAAGAAGAGGCCGTATCGAGCAATGCGTAAAGAGGTGAGTGATTCGCTAAGGCTAGTAGTTCGATCTATAACTTAAGCAACGTGATGACGTCCGCGGTGAGGGTTGAATAGAGGGTTAGATTTACTGATCCCACACCTCTCTACCTTGTTTTGACATGCTTTTCCGCTATTAATTTTAGCTTTCTTTTCTTTTATTCACCTTTTTTTTGCCACAGGTCTGCGGCTGAGCTTGGTTTGACAAAAAATCTCCAAATTCAAGGAGCTGTTTGTAAATTTGATTATGCCGGCTGCGTCAATGCAATGCAATCGCGGAGGCTCCAGTTCGGCATCTCTAAATGATAATGCCTCTTGAATAACCCCCCCGACGAAAGCCGTGAGACAACGATGCTGTGTCCTTCACTTTTCGCGCACATAATCGTCCAGCTGGCCTGTTGGCTGGGAACTTGCGTTGAAGCATATGCGCAAAGGGTTCTGCGCATGAGCCAGAGATCGGGCGAGGGCCCATCCATTCTGTGGGGATAAAGGCAATCGCATGAGATCTGGCTTTGCCTGTCAATTTCAATAGGGTTATGGCGCGGGTGAGTATTGGATGCATGGAGGAGAAAGCAGCGGGCATAATGCAACGCTGGAGTCGGCGATAGCTGTCAACGCATGTCAAAGGCACATACGCACGCCGCGCCAGTAATGAAGCCTGGGCTGGAGCGTCCTCTGTATAGTCTCATCAGATGAAATATTGGTCGAAGCTATGGTGTGTAAGTGCTCGTATTTTGGCTGAGCTATTGTGTGTGGCTGATACTACTTCATTTCATATTGACGCGCGCACTGCCCAGCAATATATAGCCAAGATCATCGTTCCCTGCCCGGTGAAGCCGCTTTGGGGCCTTGCCTTCTATTCCGAGGGGGAAGTAGGCTTAAAATGGCGACACTATCACACCTGTCCCGAGTAACTTCGAGCTGAACCCGCGCCCTCACAAAAAGAAAAGAGTATTGCCAAGGGGCTTGGCAGGAGGAGGTCTCGGAACCGGTCTGCCTTCTATTGGCAACCGGAGCTTCATGGCATTAGCTGAGCAGCCACCAGATGCAAGAAAGCAACCCTGGTCCAATATCATCTGGACATGGCCCACCTCCATCATCCCCCGCGTTAGAGAGGACTCAACTTGCTCCCCTGCAGAGGGCCGGGAACTGGACATGGTTAGCCCTTCGTGCCAAACATGGGAACCGATAGTGCAGCCACGGCTTCAAGCTGGGAGATTCAGGGTCGGGCGGGCCGGCGCAGATCGTGCCGCACCCTTGCTATTATTGGTGGCCTGAGACTGCGCACGTCGCATTGACTTGCAGATTGAGCTCTCTACTGCCATTGAATCATTGCCTATTTGGGCTCAGTCCAGCTCACTCAAGGCGCCGTGGCTTGCGCTTCTGGTCTCGACCAATATCAGGATACTACCTGGAACCATGTTCTGAGGACACATCAACATCCGAGACTGGATAGAGCGGAACCGCATAGCAGGGTTATCTGATGGATGAGGACGTCGTTAGGCTCATCAGCTTCGGTTAATCCGATGTGCCATCCAGCAGCAACAGCACATCTCTGCCCAGCTCCTTGCCGGCTGCTGATGATATGTCGCGTTATGCCGAATATTTGAGCTATAAAGCCCCCATTCCTCCCAATAGATCTTCTCCTTATCAAAAACTTCTCTATTTATACCTAGTACCTTGCCCTTGAACTTTCTTTTAGACCAACTCATGAGGCACCAAACTGCGGCGCCTTGGAGCGAGCATGATAGGTATACGCAACAGCATTAACAGTATGTCTCTCGACTATTTTCTTTACTCAATAGACTTCCAAAAACCTGATTACTCGCTAAAACATTA